GGAACTGACCCGAAAGAGTTTTGTCAAATGTACGAGTTTTAATAAGCCTGGGGTCCACAGCAGGACACCGCATTTCAAAACCTTAAAGATGCCTTGTCTTCAGCCCCTGTCCTCCATTTTTCCCGATTTTTCGAGAGATTTGGTCGTTCACACTGATGCTTCCGAGCAAGGTGTAGGTGCTTTCCTCGCCCAACCGTCCAAGGGCAGCACCGATGAAAAGGAGCTAGATATTATCCCATATTATAGCAAACGTTTCTCCCGTAGTCAAAGCCACTATAGTCCCACGATGAAAGAATGTCTTGCTGCCGTATGGGCTCGGACCCATTGGCGTCTGTACCTCTGGGGTCGACACTTTACGTGTTGTACCGACCACCAAGCTCTCACGTACTTGTATCACATGCAAGACACATCTATTATGCTCACCCGCTGGGCAATTTGTCTTCAAAATTTCGACTTCACCGTTAAACACGTTCCTGGAAAACTTAATGTTGTCCCGGATACGTTGTCTCGTATTTTTAGCGAGGTAGATGGAAAACCTCTTCCATCAGAGCCGCAACTTGCAGCTATCTGTCGTAATGTCCCGGTGGATAAACCTTTTCATTCCCCCATCCCTCGTGAATACGAGGTATCTTGTAGCAATTTAGCCGAGACCGTGCCGGTCGAAAGCGATCGTGAACTGTTTGCCAGTGCTGTGACTTTTTTTCCTAGAATCGATACTACTGCGAAGTTGCTTGATCACCAGGAAAAAGAATTTCGCCAGTATTTTGACTATCTAGTCAATCCCACTAAGGCTCGTGTTCCGCACCAACAATCCAAGTCTAGCATGAGTAAATTCTTCATCCAAGAGGGATTGCATTGCGGGTCTTACGTACCCGCCCACTTACGTAGACGAGATACTTTTCGCGATCAGCTAGTAAAGCCTAAACTGCTGCGCACCCTCGTCATTCATAGTTGTCACGACCTACCCGCGTCTGGGGGTCATCTCGCCTTTAAAGGTACATTCGAGAAAGTAAGGGATCGTTATTGGTGGCCGACGATGCACGCTGACGTTGCCGAACATGTCGCAAGCTGTCTCCCCTGTAAACGCCGCAAAACGTCCCACCGAACCCCTACGTTGCCTACCGGGCACCGACCGGTCACAAAACCGTTCCAGGTTGTTGCAGTCGATCTTGTCGAATGAAAATCTAAGTCAGAAGGAAACCGATTTATTCTTTCGGTCATTGATCACCTCACGCGTTTTCTCATTTTAATTCCCATCAAGTCTAAGGAAGCCGCGGTGGTAGTCCGTCACCTTATTGACCGCGTCTTTTCGGTATTCGACCCACCGGAAACCCTGCATTCTGATCAAGGGAAGGAATTTGAAAACCAACTCGTAAAAGAATTGCAATCTGTCTGCGGGTACAAGAAAACCCGCACCGCCGCTTATCGTCCGCAAGGGAACTCTGTTCTCGAGCGTGTCCATAGTACCGTTCATAATATGCTTGCCATGTACAACAATTTGGCATGTGATAATTGGGCGGAACTGCTGCCATTCGTTCAGCTTGCGCACAACACCGCATACTCCAAAACTTTGGAAGAAACCCCATGTTATTTAATGTTTGGGCGCGCTGCAACTCTGCCTGTAGCACTTATTCTTGGAGTTCCTTCTACTGATGCACCTCAAAACAAACTCGGCTACTCACGTCGCACGGTGGAAAACTTGCAGCTAACGTACGAGTTAGCCCGTCGTAATCTCAAACAACGTGCGGACAAGCAGGCCGTCAAGAACGAAAAGTTGTCTTTCCCCGGTTTCAAGATGGGTGACAAAGTTTTGCTGCATCGCCCGTGCCATGAAACTGACGGTCCAAACCCCAAGCTTATTAGCCCTTGGCATGGTCCGTATACCGTCAGAGCCCAGCTCTCCCCTGTCATTTATGGTGTTTCAAAACCGAACGAACTGGACGAGATCACGGTCCACTTAGGTCGGATGAAACCATTCGTCAAAACCAAGTCATCCCCTGCCCCTCATTTCGAGGTGCTGAACGACATGTTCCTCTGAACCACTTTGCCAGTCCCTGACCTAGATGGCTCCCTGCACACAGTCACTATCGGCCCGTATATCATCGAAGCAATCGATGGTCATAAACGGGGGGCAGTCGCAGCGTCGGTAGATAATTTCCAATACCACCTCAAACTCAAAGGCCAACCAACACAATGTGGTATATGGCGTCACTACAGCACTCTCCCACAATGCAAGGAGATGATCGAGTCTTACCGTGCTGTGGTTCTGTCACAAAATCCTTCGGCTTTCGATCCGCCCGGGAGTATCGTGACGATACATATTTCCAATACCACCTCCGCCATAAGTAAGTATCGTCACGAAGGTAACACGTAAGGGCATTCATGCGCGGTTGTCTTATACGCTTTGTTCTGTTTCCTTGCTTCGGTCTTGCAACAACCGATGCCCGGCGCCCACGTGTTTTCGCTTGTCCTGTAGCCGGCAGTCCTTCAGTGTCTTCTTTCGTACGCCACTTTCATGGCTTCTCTTGTTGTATTTGTTGGTTCATCGTGCGAAGTACCGCGCTCGTGTGCTTGTGGTTATAGTTTTCAAGAACACGGCTACTTGACATGTATGGTTTTTCTATTTGTCAGCAGTGATTGACACCCCGCATCGTTACGCGCCGTCGTGTCCTCGGCAGACCTTCGGAACAGGTATCAATTTCTGCTTACTCAGCGAATCTGGGCTACATTTGTACCAGATGTCTGTGTGGATGTTTCCAAGAGCTGTCTTTGGTATGTTGTCGGTGTCACCGTTGGCACTTTATTCTCGACAACGCAGAATTTTTGTCGACTGCTAAATTATGTTCTTGAGTGGCTTTCAGCCACAAGGGGGTCGACCATTCTTTCGCATATGCCGAGAACGTTAGCAACAGCCATTCATTTTCCACTGGCTCCGCGGACACCACGCCTTGTCGTCTACACCGAGAAAATTTTTCGGAAACCTGGTGATTGGATACGAGACGCGTTTGTTGCAGTGTGCATCTTTAGGGAGGTTTCGTTTCGATTCAGCCTCCAGAAAAGGAACAAACTTTCTTCTGACCTCTGGATACGTACATACATGTTTGTCATTTTTAGCAATGGCCAAATCCAACTCATGTGACGTTCACCCACATAGTCTTGTGCAAGGGCCCTTGCCGGACTGTAAGACGGTGTCGCCCATTAAGTGGCCGTTTGCCCGTCAGCCATGAACTGTTGTTCGTCTGTGTCTCTGAACGCATCATTTCTGTCTGGCCACGCTGCGTCAATGTTGCTTGACACCCTCAGGATCAGAAACAATAAAACGAACGTTCGTCAATGTCCTTCGCGCGAAACCGCTCCTACGCAATGCGTATATTCCCGTGCTAGTCATTTGTCCTGCAGTCCGCAGCTATGCTATGCTTGGCAATGCACCTCGTCCTTGCTCCTCTGTCGTTTGGCACGTCGATCCTGACTCGTCTTCTGGTCGTACTTCCAAGGTATTTCCAGTAATAATATTTTCGGTACATCCTTTCGAAGTTAGAGGAGATCCTTCGAAATGTTGTCTTTGGAAGGTTGGATTAGCAGAGCCCGTGTCCCCTTTACTCTGTAGTTTTGATGGAGTGAGCGCTCTAACACCATCAAAACTGGGGGGTGATGTGCGTCACAACTCTACGAACCCAACCCACTACGTCTTTCACCACATAGATCTATCCTACGACCTTGGAGAACGTTCCCCACGTTCTCCTCGGAGAGATCGTCTCTCGGGGCGATGTCGAGGTCGCCAACGCCCCGAGCCACGAGGAAGCGTGCAACGTGACGAGGTTACGAGGGATACGAGGGACCTAAAGCCGTCTTCCACGAGGCTTCCTCGGATCGTCGACCGTGACTTTTGTCCGAGAGGGATGCGAGGGCGTGCCCTCGCACACCTTTCACTCTTCACTTCTGTCCCCATCTCATCTCGAGATTCTGTCTCTTTACTGAGAATCACAGTCTGTCCGGTGATCGTAAACACCGCCTGTGACCGTTGCCTGAGTGGAACGCCCGTGGATAAAGTGGTAATTTTCAAGGACCCGATTTTGGTTGTCCCTCCATAACTTTTGACTGAGAGCGAGTAAAAGAAAAAGAAAAACAGCTTCGGAACGTCCGCGGCAAGGCGCAAAAGAGTAGCGAGTCGCCAAAAAGAAAGGAAAAAAAAGAGAAAAAAAAAAAAGAAAAAAAGATGCTCGCGGCGGGTCTCGAACCCACGAAATTGGCCCTAGAGCAACTTTTCCCCCATATATGTTGCTAATCCTTTTTTTTTTT